ACACACAGGACCAAATTGTATCTGGTTTACAAAAGAACTGGCCGGTTATAACTGAAAAAATACTTGAAACTAAAATAAATTAATCAATTAATGATATTATAGAGTTTAGTCTATCATTTTTCCATTATTCCTTATATTTCTTCAAAATCACTTTTCAAAAGGTGAAAAAGAATTTACCAATAATTACTGCGATTGTTATTTGTGAAAATTTATTTGCATTATTTAGTATAAAAATAAACAATTTCTTTTAGGGACAAAACTTTATATAAATTATCAAGTGGTGCAGTTAAAATTCTTTAAATGAGAATGACATTATCTAATTTAAACCTTAAAAGTCTGGGGAAAACTAATGGAATAATTAGTGAAATCGGTTTTAAAAATTGGACTAATCCTACCTTATTGGAAACAATCTTCCAAAACAAAGTTCAATCATAAAGTCAATCATCAATCAGAAGGAAGGATCACATTGCTTGACAAAAAAATCAAAAGAACACATGGCGCCAAATTGTATATTAATGGAGAACTGACCTGATATAACTAAAAAAATACTTGAAAATAATATATATTAATCAATTATTGATATTAGTTAGGATTAGGATTTTGGCCTATCATTTTTCCATTTTTGTTTATTTTATCAGAGTCACTCAGACTTCAACAAAAAATCTTACAAATGATGATATTTGTTATTTGTGAAAATTTATCTGCATTATTTAGTATACGAATAGAGAATTTATTTTATGAAGGACCAGCTTTATGTACTTATCAATTAAGGCAGTTATACTTCTTCAAATGAAAGTGACTTTATGTCATTTAAACCTTAAAATTCTGGGGGCAAACTGATAGTACTGTGTAACATAGAACACACAGGACCAAATTGTATCTGGTTTACAAAAGAACTGACCGAGAAAAATACTTGAAAATAAAATAAATTAATCAATTATTGATATTATGGAGTTTGTTCTGTCAGTTTTCCATTTCTGTTTATTTTTATCAAAGTCATTCCGCAGACCTCAATAAAAAAACTTTGATATAATTGTTATTTGTGAAAATTTATCTGCATTATTTAGTATACAAATAAATAATTTATTTCCTGAACAACCAACTTTATATACTTCTTAAGAAGGGCAGTCATAATTCTTCAAAGGAAAGTGATTTATCTCATTTAAACCTTACAAATCTGGGGAAAACTAATGGAATAATTAGTGAAATCGATTTTAAAAATTGGACTAATCTTAACTTATTGGAACCAATCTTCCCAAAAAACGTTCATTATTTTATATTAATTTATTCATTATATTCTAATTACAAAAGAACTGATATAACTGAAAAAATACTTGAAAATAATATAAATTAATCAATCATTGTTATTACGGAGTTTGGTACACCATTTTTCCATTTCTGTGTTGTTTTATCAGTCACTCCGCAGACCTCAACAAAAAAATTTAAAATTTATGATATGATTGTTATTTGTGAAAGTTTATCTGAATTATTTATTATACAAATAAAAAATTTATTTCGTGAACAACCAACTTATACTTATCAAGTAGAGCAGTTCTAATTATTCAAATGAAAGTGACTTTATATCATTTAAACCTTAAAAACCTGGGGAAAACTAATGGAATATTTAGTGAAATCTATTTTAAAAATTGAACTAATAACCCTTACTTATGGGAACAAATCTTCCAAAAAAAATGTAAAAAGGTGGGTCAGACTGCTTGACCTCAAAATGAAATGAATTTTCATTAACCAATGTTACTGTGAGAGATTTAGTAGCGTCTGTTTTTTGAAGATAGGCGAATCGCTCTTCGTTTATAATCGCATGACCGGTTACATCTCGTTTTTACATCCGACCGACATCAAAGAGAGTGTTTTTATGTTTGACTTAACAGTTTAACTAACTTGTATTAAAAACGTTTCTTTTATAATGACCCGTAAAAAAAAAAATTAAGTAATATTTCGCCTGAAAAGATTGGTAGAGACTAAACTAATACCATAACATAGAATAGAATAGAAATCATTTCATGTTTGTTTTTTTTTATTGGCCTTATGATCTTGCATATTAGCCATAGTACGAATTCTTGTGTGTTCAAATTGGGGGTTATCGGGAAAAAAAGGCCAGAGGCGACGGTGGGAATCGAACCCACGACCGCGGTGTGAGCTGTACCTTGGTTGCTTATGAGAGAAACATCATAATGGAAAGAATTTTTTTTTAAATTAATTAAATTTATTTATTAAAACTGGTCTTATTAGAACAACCATTAATTTTACAATAATATTATAGAATAAATAAATGTTTACATTCTTATAAACCCATTGGTACAATAAGATTTACATTTCACTATTCACTATTCACTTTTAACTACACAAGTTCATATGGCTTTGTTCTTATTAATCTTCTTTAATCTTAACAGCATGCGGCATCACTAAAGCAACTTGATATGGGAAGAAATTACCTCCAAGTGGCTGGAATTGTGATAAGTGCGACATGGAAAAAACTCTCTGGCTCAATTTGACAGATGGCTCCATCCATGTGAAAGAAAGTACTTCATCGGCGGTAATGATGCACTGCAGCACTTCAAAGAAACAGGGTATCCACCAGCAGTCAAACTCGGCACCATTAGTGAGGGCAAAGGAGATGTATTCAGTTATATCGATGACGACCTTGTTAAAACCCTTACCTCATTCAGCACCTCGCGCATTTTGGGATCAATATCCAAAACATGGAAAAATGTAAAGGTTTAACATGTACGTAACTAAAATCAACCATATCCTTAATTTATTAGAATTAATATATCCAAATTTTACAATGGGGGACCGCGGTAGCCGAGTGGTTAGCATGAGAGACTCTCACGCCGCGGTCGTGGGTTCGATTCCCACCGACGCCTCTGGCCCTTTTTCCCGAAAAAAGAAAAAAAAAACATTGGCATACATTCTAGTATACGTTGAATTACAAAAAGAGTATAAGCTAAAATAAATCCTCCAAGCATAAACATAATATATTTTTGTATATGTACCGCCGAAGCGAGTCACACCTGATCGTGCCATGCCAATGCCTCTTAAAGGGAGCGAGTAGGGTGGGCCGGAACGAAAGGGTACAAGTGGGATGAAAGGTTAGAACGGAACTTCGGGAAGTAGGACGGATCGAGTCTAGAACAAATGGAATGTTAAGTGGATAGTTAGGTTAGAGACTTGGTAGGGAGCTTGGTTAATTTTGACGACTTTTGGTTATTTGGTTAGATGGAATTTGATATTGGATGGTTCCGTGGTATCCCACAGCTCTACTCCTCATCGGTCTTAGTAGTATTTTGTAGAAGGTTAGTTTGGTTATGACAGATTCTGGTGAAGCAGCCTTCATAGGTAAGGCTGACACTCTCAATGCTGATGGATTAGGAGGAGAGTAGGTCTCTGAGTCAAAGTCTTTAGAGCGATGTGGAGGATTCAGAGGACGGTAGTTAATCAAGATAACTTGAGCAGAAGAAACAAGACCATAGAAAAGAGCGGAATTTCAAGAAAAGAGAAGGGATCAAATTTAGGAAGGTAGAGAATGTTGCTTTTATGAAAAAATGAGCTCTTACATAAAGATGTTAGGTCTCCCTGTTCGTTTCTTACGAGCAATCGGTGTGTTTCCTCATATATAAATATATATCTTATATGTATACGGTACATTTGTAAATAATTACCTTATTTTCTTATTACGAGTGAACTGATTTTAAAAAATGTAATGTTTGAACATTACTTAGATTTAATTACTTAATTCAATATAAAAGTTTAAGAAAACAAACATACTCTGATTTTTAAAATTTTAGAACAATCAATTTCTTAAATCATTTAAGGTTATTTCTGCTTTTATAATTGATCTTATTAAATAACAAAACTCTGCGTACGAAATTTAAAAAATGTAGCATGGAGTTAAATTTAAACATTAAAAAATTAAAATTAGTCAATACGGCCAAATTGAGGAATCAGAAATAAAATTATTTTTATATACAAAAATACGAGTTTTTAGTAAATAACTGGTCTAACCTAAAAACATTTAGCTCATTGATGTTAGAAGAGGGGAAGTATATTTTTAAGCATTTTCATTGATAATTGTTTCTAAACAAAAAGCTCATAAGACCAAATATTATTGATCATAAATAGTAAATAATGCACATATAACCAATATTTGATCATTTTCAGGACAGATTAATGGAGTGATTTTATGTGTCTAGGATTTTGGCAGAGAAAATTTTTTTAGTGTCATCAGCGAAGTAAAAATAGACCAGAAATGTTAAGTTTGAGTACTTGATTGATATAGATTATAAAAAATTGGTCCCAATACAGTACCTTAAAACACCCCAGATGGAATAGGAAAAGAAGAGCTGTATGAATTCTTTATTTTAGTGATTTGAGTTCAATCAGAAAGATATAGTTTCCATGAGAAGAACCAATATTAAGTCATAAAAAAATGTTAAGTTATCATTATCTACAGAGTCAAACTCTTTATTATATCTTAAAAAAATGTCATATACGTGGTTACCATTTGGTGGTTCACTTACTGTGTAGCATGTAGGAAAATAAAGAGATTGCTTTGTCGACTTTCAAGTGTACAGTGCATACTGATTATTTGATATAATTTTATTTTTCCTTGTAAATTTCACTTATAAGTAACTATGTAATTATTAGTAACGAATTTAATAATCGCCTATCAGTTTTTATAATACAACATAGAAACTTTCGACCTAAGTTAAATTAAATTATTATCACTTAATTAAATTGACGTTTTTTACGAAACGGGGAAAATAATTTGAGAAACAACAGTTAGAAACAGGTAAAACAGATGAAACGATAATAAAGCAATTAGCAATTATTTAAAAATTCTGCTTTTAATAAATTAGTACAATACTTGTAGCAGAAAGTAATATTTGTGCTTATTGAATTAAAAAATAAGACAAAATTACTTATTTCAACTATTGTTTTCTTTTCAAATTGCTTTCCTTGCATACAGATAAAAATGTTACCTTCTATTACTGGATGAAAATCATTCAAAACCCTTTTTCACCATCTGAAACAAAACAACATAATTATCGATAATATAAAAGCTCGAAAAGGGCTTCCCAATCAAACGAAAAATAATGTAAACAAAGCAATATGAAATTTATACAAAATAACTCTCAATTTAGTGTAGTTGTCGTCTAGTATTATACTAAAATAAATCGATAATGAATAAAATTCATTATTTGATATTAACACATGTTCCCTTCTGCTCTTTTAAAGTGCTCTTAAATACCCCTACGATGTTGATGAAAATCCCACAAAAAAGTGTAGGATATTTAAATTATTTTAAAGTGTAACGTGAGGAGAAGGCGAAATGAAAGATATGAAGCTAGACCAAAGAGGCTCTCAAAGAATTCCTACAACTAATTAATTCTCTCCACCGTAATATAAATTTTACATTGGAAATTGGCAAAGATGGTTGTTTGAACTTTTTAGACCTAAAACTGTCCATAATAAACAACCTAGTTGAAATAGAAGTATATAGAAAACCCACAACTACAGACACTATGATACCAGCGGATTCTTCCCACCCATGGTCCCAAAAGGCTGCTGGTTTCATTTGGCTCATAGACCGGATGTTAAAACTTCCGCTAACACCTGATAACTATAAAAAAGAATTAAAAACTATTAAAACCTTAGCAA